GGTGACTAGAAGAGATGCCTGAGCAAATTGACAATCCACCCCCACCTCTGGAGGGTTCTTCTATGCATGAGCACATATCTCCCAATTTAAAGTGTCAATTTCCACTTATAACCAAACGTCCACCACTCATCTGTCAAGTTTGTCATACTGTGGTTGCTTCTGTGTTACTATGATTCTAAATGCTATGCCACCGGTATTTTAAATACCAGCAGGGTCACCCATGGTGGACAAGTTTTAGAGGAGCTTCTAGACAAAGAGAGACTAGGAAGAAAGAGTGACGAACTACTTCTGAATCTTTAGTCACTGAACACCTAATGAATAGCAGATAAACACTGCAAAGATATAGAGTCTTGGAAATGATATACAGTGAAGCTATGAGTCAAAATGGACTAGAAGGTGTTTAACAAAAACAACTGCATAATAAAGACCACTTGAGTGAGAAAGTTGAGGCTGTCTGATATCATAAGAAATTTACTGCCTTAGAAACCCTAAGGAGCAGATCTACCATGCAACAGGATCACTGAGAGTTGTAATCTAATTCAATTCAGTGAAATCTGCTGAGAAAAGAATTTTCCAGAGCAATATTCCTGTTGTTATTTTTGTTAAGTGCTGTTGAGTAGATTCCAACCCATAGTGACCCTGTATAGGATTTCCTAGGAGCAGCTGGTGAGCTTGAACCACTGACCTTGCAGTTCAAATGACTTTGAAGTCTGAAGTGTTAGCCCATAGCGCCATACCAGGACTGCTTATATTTCAGTTGTGGGAAGGAAATTCCTTTCAGAACAGGACTTTCCAGCCTTCCAGTGACACCTGTGGGGTGGGAGAGTAGGGACATTGTAAGAAGTTAACAGAGGTCAGCTACTCAATGAAATAGAGACTTCTGAATGGAATGATGGTGGTTGCAATGGAAGTGAATTATACCACTGGAGAAACACTTGTAAAAGTCAGACACTCAGCACACAAGTCTGTTCACACACACATGCATGATGATGAGAGCTAAGGTAGAATTTCAATCAACGGCAACAGAAAAGCAGGGGGAGTAGATAATGGGATTGACAACTTCAGGCCAAGATATTATGTGGATTGTTTATACAGATGTTTAAATTGAAGTGGAAACTGATATATTTTCAAATGTATTTCTCCCTTGTGATATAGAGATAAATATTTTCACTTTTATAGTAGAGTTTTTACCTATGTTGTAAAAAAAAAAAACAAAAAAACTTAGGTTTTGCTATCCTGGTTCTTCAGTAGGATATTTATATCAGAATCAATGATGTTCAGAACCTTTCTTCTTTATTAATATGATAGTGTATTGCAGAAAGTAGTGCATTTAAGTAAGTGCTTGACTATGAGCTGAAATATTGGTAGTTTGAGCTCACCTAGGGGTGCCCAGAAAGAATGCCTTATAATCTACTATGCACTCATGAGGTCGCCAGAAGTTTGACTTGACTTGCTGACAACTAATAACAATAACTGATGTATTTGAGTTATGATGTTGAAGGAGAATATTAAAAGTATCGTGGATTGCCAAAAAAAAAAAGAAATCTGTGTTGAAGTAAGTACATCCAGAATGCTGCTAAGAAGCTAGGATGAACAGACTTTATTTCTCATACTTTGGACATATTGTCAGGAGGGACTAGTCCATGGAGAAGGACATCATGCATGTAAAAGTGGAGGGTCAGCAAAAAAGAGGAAGATTCCCATGAGATCGATTGGCACCATTGTAGCATCACTAGACTCAAGCACAGAAATGATAGTGAGGTTGGCACAGGACTGGGAAGTGTTTTCTACTGTTGTGTATTAGGTCATTATGAGTTGGTGCTGAACAAATGGCAAATTATAATAACAGAAATAGTAATAATGACATGACCTAGAATTACCAGACACATATCAAATTTTGCTAGACAAAAAGTGGGAAAAAACTACACTTGGCCACTATGACATGGAACCAACTCTATGGAATATAAAAACAACAAAACAAATTGGGGCTGTGGTTTAGGAATTGAACTGCTAACTGGAAGGACAGAAGTTGTCCAAAGATGAGGACAAAGATCAAAGATGAGGCCATTTTATCCTGTAAAGATTTAGTCTCAGAAACTCTAGAGAGCAGTTCTACCGTATCCTATAGGGTGACTAGGAGTTGCTATCAACTCAGTGCCTGTTGGTTTATTTTTCTTTTTGAGTAAAGTATAATATATAACAGTTTATATGTGTATGTAGATGTATATTGTTGTTGTCAGTGGTGGGTGCCATTTGCATTAGGCAAACCTGTTACACAAGACCTCTTTAAAGTATTGAAGATCAAAGAAGTCAGTTTAAGGGCTAAGGTGCACCTGCCTGATCCAAGCCATGATATTTTTAATAACATCACCTGCATGTTAAAGTTGGGCAATGAATATAGAAGACCACAGAAGAAATGATGCATTTGAGTTATGTTGTTGGAGGAGAATATTAAAAGAACTATGGACTATCAAAAGAACATATTTGTGTTGGAAGAAGTACATGGAAGTACTTGGAAGCCAGGATGGCCAGACTTCATCTCTCATACTTCAGACATATTATCAGGAGGGGCCAGTCCCTGAAGATATCATGTTTGCTAAGGTGGAGGGTTGGAGAAAAAGAGGAAGACCCCCAACAAAATGGATTGGCACAGTGGCAGCAGCTGCAGGCTCAAGAGTAGCAACAATTGTGAGGTTGGCACAGGACTGGGCAATGTTTTCTTCTGTTGTGCATAGGGTCAGTATAAGTTGGCGCTGACTGGATGGCACCTAACAACAATAGTGGTGGAGTTATAACATTGTTGCTAACTGAAAGGTGGGCAATTCAAACCCACCATCTGCTATGCAAAAAAAAAAAAAAAAAAAAGATGTAGCATTCTACTTTTATAAAGATTATTGTTGTTGCAAGTCCTTTCCAACTCAGTGGAACCCTATATAGAGTTCCCGAGGAATGGCTGGAAGATTTGAACCTTCGACTTTTTGAACAGCCACCAGCACTATACCAAGACCTCTATGCAGCAATTCTATGTTGTGCTGTAGGGTAGCTATGAGTGAGAACTGATTCCAAAGCAACACTTTTTTGTTTTGTGCATGTATTTATTCATTTACGTAATCTATTTATAGTTTTTGTGGCACAGGAGTTAAAAGTTTTGTTCAAATCCACCTGGCAGTTTTGTTGGTGAAAGACCTGGTGATGTGCTTCTATAAAGATTATGGTCTAGAAAATCCTGTGCAGCAGTTCGATGTTATCACACTCGCTAGCTATGAGTTAAAACTTGACATGATAGTAGACACAATAACATGAACCATATATGTAAGAAGAATCTGTAAGCCATTTTATCTTTTACCTATAAATAGTTTCATATTTCAGTAATCACTTATATAATGATCATGTTAAGAAAATATATTCACACTTTATCACATATTTTGTTATATGAATTTCTAGATAATACACAATTCACTTATAATATATATAAGTGCAATTTGCCTATATATTTATAAAACCTAATATCCCTTAGAAATCTACATAAGACTAAAAAGAGAAGGTTCACTACATGGAGCTCTAAGGGGTTATGCAGATTAGAATTATGGTAGATAATAAAGAGGCATTCTGAGCGTCTTTATAATAATGGCATTCCCAACATTGAAGTTTATGTTAATAAGTGAATTAGTGGCCTTATATTAAGTTTGTATTAATTTTAGGATTTAGTCATTGATTTGATCTTTGTATAATTCCTTTATTTTTCATTCATTCATTAATACATAATAACTATTTTTAGTAATCCTTTGGAGTCCTGGTGTGGCGCTGTGGATAATGTACTGGACCACAAGGTCAGTTTGAACCATGAGGTTGGTGGTTCAAACCCACTCCATGGAAACCCTACACAGGATCGCTACTGTCAGAAGTGACTTGATAGCACTTAACAACAACAACTACTATTTTAAAGTATGTCACCTTAAACATGTATTTTATTTTATTTGTAGAATAAAAAAAATATTGGTTAAAAAAAAAAAAAAAAAAAAAAGCTCTGAGAAACTGTGTAAACAATTTTTCTCCCCATGTTCAAATTTATAGCATCCTTCCTGAAAAAGTTTCATAGAAATATATCTTGAAATTTTATTTATGACTGAAGGCTGAGATAACATGGTAACATTTTAAAACCATCCTTTCACACACCAGTACAGTATTAAACAAAACCAAGATTTATTTTAATGTGAAATTTGAGCCCTGAGGCCTCTCTTAATAAAGAGGAATATTTTTATTACCTTTTTTAAAATTTTAGCTTTTGAAAACAAAATAACATCTTAATGAATAGCTTTACTGTGAACTAATCATAAGATCACACATTTCTTTTAAATTTTTGGATTTACATAATGAATCTGATGCCACTTTTATTTCAATTTTCTGAGGGGGTAAGAAAATCAAATATGTCTTGGCATACAGTTTTAAAAAGAAAAGAAAAAAAGAGAGAGAGAGAGAACTTTGAATTATAAGAAGATGGAGTTCATAAAGTATTCTTCTTTTCTCCTTCAAAGGAATGAGAAGAGTTAGCATGTTGCTATTGCTCCTTGACGTGAAGATTGTGTCTTGTTTTATGTCCTTTTTATCTCTGAATCCTGTAATGCCATCACAGCAGAGTGTACTGTACACCACTTTAATGATAAGAGTTTCAATAGGCACTTTAGTGGAATTAAGAAAAATCTAACACTCTTCCACCGTGATGCCAGATCACTATCTTCCTTGTAGGTTGTCATGTCAATAAATTGTATTTAATAGGCCTGAGCTTGTCTCAGTGTGTTTCCATAATAACAAAACAAAGCAAGTACATGTTATAGGATTTATCTGGTGTTGGCAGAATAAACCAAAACTGACAATATGATAAATATAGCAACTCACTGGAAACAGATAATCAAATGAATCTTGTCCTATAAAGCCTGCATGTGTGTGAGAGAGTTCTACTTGTGTTTCTTTTTCTTTCTTTCTTTCTGTTTTTTATTTTTAATTTCTCCTTTGCTTGTGTGCTAGCCTTCACTTTTTTTTTTTTTCCCCCTAAGTGACTGTATCTTTTTCAGGATTATGATTCTCTTCCCCACCAAACATGTCTGCCAAGACTTTAAAACGGGGTCCCCAATCTGTCAGAAAGTCGTAGTCCTGGTCTGCCTCGGTAGTGAAAGAGTCTATAGAGCTGAGGGATTCTGCTACCGAGCCATTTCCTTCATAGGCATAGGTTGCCAATGAATCGTATGGAGGGGCAGTGGGGTCTGTATCATTTTCCTGTAGCCTTTGATTAATGAAATCCCTTATATCTGTGTTATCTTCCACTGCTGGTCTCTGACGAGGTAAACAGAGAGAGTCTGGTTTTATATCCCTGCGAATTTTGTTATCTTCAATCACTTTTGGATTTCTTAGAGCACCAATGTCGAAAGCCTGGGTATCCTCCTCCCCGCCTCCTTCATCATCATAGTGAATCACGTTGTCTCGGATATCTTCTTTAGAGGTCATCAAGGTATCTTTCTTCTTTTGCCTTCTCAGAGCTACATACAGCACAACTATGGCTAAAACAAGACAAAATTACCGGGTGAGAATAGAAAGGATATATGTCAATGGATCTTATAAAAATTAAATTTGATCAAGATTGCTTCTTTCTTGATCTTCTATCATTTAACAAGTAAGCAGTATAATCAGTAAAGATCATATACACTTCTATATGTTTTTATTTTCTAAACTCAATTTAATTCTCAATTGGGAATAACAAGACTATAGTAAAAATTACTCACAAAATCAGACAATTAAAACATACTGCATATTTAAGTGCTAGGTAGAATTGTTTTGTTTTTTTTTATAAAAATGAGAGAAAAATAACAGATGCTTTTTAAAATTGTATATAAAACCATAGAAAGTTGAAGTAATTGAGATTGAATATATAGCCTATGAATAACATAAAAATCATTCATATGAAGTTTCTCAGTTGTAATATTGTTTGCTTCTAATAAAATAAATGCAAATCTTCATTATAACTTTAAAAGTAGTGAGAGAGAGAAAGAGGTCAATTAAAGATGGGAGGGAGAGAGGGAAGAGAAGGAGGCAAAAAGAAAGACTGTGTAAGGACCTCCTTTTCACACATCATATGAACTAGGTCCTTCATTAATTTCAATTATGTGTCCTTTCATATTGAGATATTTTCAAAGTCAAATATCTACTATTTAGGCCACCTTTATAAAGCAATAGGATATTTTGAAATAAACCATTAACCTATATACTATCTTACACGAGATTCCTGCTTTTTCCAGTTTTTGCAATAGTCTAGCTATTAAAACAATGGTATTTGTATATTCTTTAGGTAGATGGGCACAGGAAGAAATGATGAAGGCCATGTTCAGCTTTCTTTGTCATTACCCACACCCACAGCCCCATGGCAATGGCAATAGTTGACAACCCAGTGTGTTTGATTTAAAACAGCAAAGTTTAGAATACACAAATTATTGGATTAAGAAATAAAGAATGTATGATAATGAAAGGAAATTCATTCCTATTCCTCCAAATTTAGAGTTTGACCAATTGGATGGAGGGCAGAAATATATTTAGAACTAATGTTGGACCTTGGGATGAAGTTTTAGGTGTTTAGGTAGCTCTCCGAACTAATGAGATGTTTACCTGTTCACCAATAAGATAGATGTTTACCTGTTCACCTATAAGATACTGCAATAAGTTTAGGGTAGCCATGACTGAAGGATGGACAAAGTAGGTGTCCTGAGAACTGCTTGAAAACAACACCTCAAAAACAAGTATCCAGAATATGCCAGGTCATTCCTGGTTCATACAGAAATACGCTGAGATTCACATCACTCTGAAATAGGAGAAGCCCACAGAGGAAAGCTTGTTTTGATGTTAAAGACCTAATTGATCATGTTCAGTTTTGGAGGTGTTATTGTTAATTTGAAGGAGTCTTGGTGGTATAGTGGTTAAACAAACATATGTTAGCCAAAAAGACAGCAATTAAAACCCACCAGCCACTCATATGAGACAGATGTGACAGTTTGCTTTCATAAAGTTTACAGCTTTCGAAACTATGGGGAAGTTCTAACCTAACTTTGAGGGCTGCTATGTGTCTTAGTTTAACAAACAACAATGGGGCTGTTATATCTTTTGCTTTAATGGTATTTTGGATTTGCCATTTTATGTTTTCTGATATCAGCATAAACACATGCCCGAGATAATTTGTTGTAATTTACAAGCATATATCATTGTTTAAGTGCCATCGAGTTGGGTCTAACTCATAGTGATCATGCAGAAGACATATGAGGAGCAACTAGTGGGTTTGAATGGCCAACCTTGTGGTTAACAGTACAGTGCTTATATAACAGTGCCACACCAGGGCTCCATATATAGGCATAAAAGGGATGCTTTTTCTGTACATTCAGTGACTTGTTTTGTCTTGAATTAATAAGTACACTGTGAGTTTCTGAGTAAAAAATGTTCTCTGCAAAGTGTTTTATAATGTTTTACTCCATGTGTCACCCAGTATTATTATTATTTTTTTAATTCATTTTATACCCTAGAAATCAAGGTCAGTGTTTACATTTGTCAGAGGAACTTAAATGTAAACTGAACTTGCATGTATAGACTAGTTATAAACAGTGGGTCCTAGCTGTATATATGTTGCATTTGAACTTAAAGACATAACAGAATACATTTCTATCTTTATAAATCAGTAAGTGAAATGGAGACAGCAGAATATTTGATGGAAGAGGAAACCCTAAAGTAGAGTTATATTTACTCTAACAGAAATACTTCCACTTTTTCCTTCTCAGTTCTTCCACATATTGTAGTATGTTCTGTTCTGGTCTAGGAGAAATAATTAGAATCAGGGCTTCAAACTGGTTAAAACTGGTTCAGTCACACTAACTCATGAAATCATAACAGATCTGAATATGTAAAATGTGGGTTTACCAGAACAATAGTCAGAATGGAAAACTAGTGACAGGTCAAATCCCTGGACTGGGAGAATTATAAAAGGTATAGTAAGCACTTGTGTGAGCCTGATGCAGAAGCTTGGATTTTTGTCAGGACTCTGGAAATTGACACGTTCAAAGTGAACAGACAGCCACTTTTTTTGGTGTTGTTTCATTTTATTTAAAATTTTATTGAAATTCTCCCACACCTCCATAAACTTCCTATATGGATATGCATGTAAACTCTGAACCTGATGCTATTCTTTTCAAATTCCTTAAATTCCTGAAGTTGTATCTTTGAAACTTGGGGAAATGAAGCTAGGACACTGGAATATTGAAGACCATTTTGCATCCCTGCTTCTTGTTAATTCACATATGATGTTAAATTGAGAAACCTTTCAGTGAAAGGCTTTCAATTAAAATGGAAAGCATGTGAAGCAGAAGTATATGCTTAATATACTTCTCTGCCCTCTTGAAGAGTAAAGAACGGGTAGGAGAAGAAGAAAAGTGTACAGAAAATATGTTTGAGCTGCACAATCCTATTTCCAACTCTAACTGAAGAGATATGGTTGCTTAATCTCAGAAAGAGATTAAGCTTCTAGCAAGGAATCCGCTTATAATTTTTCCTATTCTAGTTATCAATCCAGTACACCTACCTTTTATAAATTTAAGACCCTTCTGGTTCAGCTTTATTGGTCGTAACTGAACTGGAATGATCTGGTTGAACGCTCTGGTTAGAGTTCTGATGTGAACAGATGTTAAAAAAAGAATCATTTCTGACTGAGATCTCCTTCTTGCTTGCTTTTTTTCTTTCATCCCTCCATTCCTTTGTTTCTCTAGGATTTTGAGTAAATTATATAATCTTTTATTATGGACTAGTAATAATCAGCATGCAGAATGAATTAAGAAACCTTTGTTGTCCAGAGGTATTTATTATAAAGCATCTCATTGTGTCAAGGCCACCGACAACAATTACTAGAAAAACTTCTGGGACTTGGCCATATTTTTTGTGTGTTCATATTGGGATGATGTCACTTTAGATATTTTCTGACAATATGTATCTTTGAGGCATGAACAACAAAAATGAACTTTAATATTTTTATAGATGCGCATACTCAGTGTACAAACCTTATTTTAATGGTAAACTGAGAAGAAGCAGAGAGACAGAGAGAGAAGAAAGAGAGGGAGAATGTGATTAATAATGAAACCAACCTAAGAGTATAATAATGCACAGAAGAATTGCTATCAAAGCCCCCGTGCTGAGTCCCACAGGTAGAAAAATTGCTTCCACGTTACAAGATAGGATGGTACCATCAGAATCACATCTACAAACTCGGATAGTCATTGTGTTGGTGCTGCTCTGGATAGGATAACTACTGTCTTCTATTACAACAGGAAGGAAATACAATTCTTGTTGCCTGCGACTGTATCCATTTCTCCGGGCTTCAATCCCAGCTGTGTTGTCTACAAAACATGACATTTATAAGATGGTTACTGTGAACATTACACGTCAAATCTGGCATCAGTTAAACAGTATGGAACTCTTCTTGGATCTGTAAAATGTATCCATATTTTAATTACTTCTTTTATCATTATAAAAGCTGTCAAAATGCAATCAAGTACAATGGAAAAAAAAATCCTTCAGAGAAGATTAATTTTGTCTGGTGTACAAATTAAGAATTCTATTCCAAAAGAAGGTAGAGGGAAACAGAATGTTGTTCTGAGTCTTTCTTTTTGGTGTCCCAGACATTAAAATATCATTGAGAAGAAATTATTTGTGTAAATTGTGTGGATTTATCATTCCATGATAAAAGAACAAAGATTGCAAAGTAGGAACATATAAAACATTTCACTGAAGAACATATCCTTTCAAATATTACAAAACTGTACAGGCTATTCTAGATTAAAACTTATATTTTTAATTCCAAAGCTCTTTTACATAATTTGTGTGTAATGTCACTTTCTTACATCAATTAGAATAAAATTAAAGTGAAAAGAAACTGTATAGCAATCATCAAGATTACTAAAAACATGAGGTAAATTATAACAATCCCCATTTAAATGTAACTCCAAAATAGCTATCCAGTTTCTAATTAAATCATTAGTGGGACGCTATAGGATAAGCACTGAGAAGAGAGTCATTCAAACCCACCAGCAACTCCTCAGAAACCCTATACAGGGTTAAAGGCACTGAACAACAACAGCTACATAGCAATATTAAGGAGTCCTGGTGTTGCAGTTAGTTAATCATTAAGTAACTAACTAGAAGATTGGGGTTTGAACCCACCAGCCACTTAGTGGGAAAATGATGATGCAGTCTGTTTCTGTAAAGAATTATAGTGTGTGAAACTTGATAAAGTAGTTCTACTCTGTGGAATGGAGTCCTGGTATGGCACTGTGAGTTAATGTGCTGGTCTGAAAAGCCAATTTGAACCACAAGGTCAGTGGTTCAGGCTTACCAGCTGCTCTTAGGAAACCTTATACAGAATCACAATGGGTTGGAACTGACTCAACGGCGCTTAACAACAACCAACAATTCTGCAGTATAGGGTTTCTGTGCATTAGAAATGATCGGACGTTAGTGTGTTTTATAGCACTATCTAGTTGGAATAATCCAAGGCAATAAAATACTTCTACTCTTTTCAAACATAATTAATATTTCTATTGAAACTACTAGTTTGCATGTCTTTGCTCTTCATTTCTCTTATAATTACAAAGATAAGCAGATATCTTGTTTTGCTCTTAAGAGTATTTTATTTTGTGTATCTATTAAAATAATTCCTAGAACACTCTGGTATTGTTTTAAATTCATGAACATTTACTTTAATCTTGTATGATACATATTTGATAGTCAAATGAAATCGTTTTAGAAAAACATATCATCATTCTAGTATATGGTTGTCATAATGTCACTATTGCAGTCATATCCTGTTCTGCTATGTGTAGAAATTAATTTTAACAACCAATATTTAGGCAGTTGTTCTACATACATTGCATTAAGAAACACTAAAGTGAAAAATATTATCTGATAGCAGTAGAGTTTACGCAGGTGATTAATATATTATTATTATACAGAAAACATACACAAATTAAAAACAAAAGGCCAAAATGTCAAATATGAGAATGCTAAAACTTCTAAAAAACCAAAATCCAACAGTTAATGATACCAAGCACTTTTGGTGATATTAATAAAGAAAAAAATTGGGATAAGTTGAAATTATCAATTGTGGGGAGTCAAAATTTTAGGCTAGGGAAATCTGAGTGAAAATTACCATATAAATAGGAAATCAGAAGGAGATGGTGGTTTATCCTCACTTATATTTTGGGGGAATTTGATTTTCTTAAAAAAACTTGATATCTGGGAGGCAGACAAACTATTATATTACTTCCAATCTATTATTGTTTCTTGAAAACAAATTACACAAAATTCATTGTGTTATCCACAGTGAAAAGAAAAAAAAAACTGTATGCTAAACATTTTTTCTGCACTTAAAAGTTTTTCTACCCAACTATAAGAAATTTACATTTGAAAACAGAATTTATGATAAAGTGGTGAACCTGTTAAATGTCTGATGAGCAGCAAATACAAATTCAGACTGTAAGGAAACACTATGCTATGAGGCCAGAGGAATGGTTCCCTATTATCATGATTAAACTGATATAATTTCTATAGCAATGATCCAGTGGTTGAAATAGTATTTATAGTTAATGAGTACTGTGATGATCTATTTACTTATCCTAGTCAGTCTGATTTGTCTTCTTACTCATAATCCCATATTACATTTAGTGTGTATTGTATTAATCCTTATAAAGTGTAACTACTTACTGTCTTCATTCTCACAGAAACTAGCTTAAGAATCTCACTCAATGACTACAATAACATCAGAACCAGTCTCTCTCCAGTTAATGATTTTAGTACACAATATGCAAAACGGAATGCAAACAGAGTATCTTGTCTCTTGCCTAAACTTTCAAAAGGCTTCCCAAATCATTGATAAATTTAAGTACTATGATGACATAAAAAAAAAAAAAAATCACATTGGTGAAGGGTAGGATTGGAGACACAATTAGTATAATAGCTAAGTGTGATCAATACGTTGAAAACCTGTAAAACAAAATTGAAATGGAAAAAAAATGTGCTAGATATATTTACAACAACAAAATAGTATGTGCTGAGGCTATGTATGTACATCCAAACTCCACATGGGATTTACTTTCTTGATTTAGAGTTTCAGGGTTAAGGTTTCATAAGATATCCTAGTTAAGTAGTTTACGATCATGTTTAGTACATCTGTTCTAACTCTTATTTCATAGTTCAGAGCCTATAATCTTAGAAGCTTGCAGCCATCAAAGCACATCAATTAACCTCTATTTTCCTGAAAGTAAAAGGAAGAAGGAGAGTCTATAATAAGAGCTGAATTAGAATTTGTGACCAGTTGTCCTCAACGAACAACTGTTCCCTTTGCCATGAGAACAGAACGGGATGGTGCCTGGCTACCATTACTGAACATTTTGATCACACTGTCTAGAAAAGAATCCTGATAAAAGGAGGGAAATGCACACTGAAATTTCAAATTTTCATGGGCTTCAGATTTTTTGGAACCAGGGGGGTTGCATGAACCCATAAAATGATTGCCCTGAGATATTCTTTAAAACTTAAAACTGAAACAAAAAATATCCCCCTGAAGTCTTCTCACAACCAAGCCATAATTTATCTTTAACAACTAAAGAATGTCTGCCTGAGAACCCTGCTTTTAAAAGATCGATCTATGTGGGATCCAGCTGACAACAGCAAATCAACAGATTAGATAGTAAACTACGGGAGCGGAACAACTGAGAAAAAGAGAGTGAGAACTACTGCACACATGAAGCATACAATCAGACTCATTGAATTCTACGTGTCGGAATTGTTGAATTGGTGCGTGTTGTGCTGTACATATCATTATCAAATATAAAATCAATTAATTTTAAAATTGTCTATGTTGAAATGATTTATAAATTTTTGGTCTACAGCTTTTTTAAAAAATCTATGCTGCTTTGATTTAAAATTATTAATAGCTCCCTCATCATAAGTTTCCAATTCTGATAATTAACAAAGTGGTCACTCTAACAAATTGCCCTTTATTTGTCTGTGGCTTTGACTCATTAATAGCCATTCCTCAAGGCTATAAATGATTCACGGAACCACATTAAAGTTGCTTCACTGATAATGTTGTGTGATTCTGATTTTTCTCCTAGTTATTTACTATTTACACAGTCCTGGTGTGGCATTGTGGGTTAATGCACTGGACTACAAGGTCTGTTTTAACTTCAAGGTTACATGTCAAGCTCACCAGGTACTCCTTAGAAACCCTATACAGGGTCACAATGGATCAGAACCAAGTAGACATCACTCAACAACAAAAACATTTATAATTTACAGCAATTAAGGGTTCTTGAACTACTCTTTGACTTTTATCAATTGTCCTCCTTCTTTTCCTCATTGTCATCACCACATCAAGTTAATTTGTGTTAATAAATATGTCTCTTTTTTTTTTTTCTCCAAAATATGCATGTGCATGTTTGTATGTGTGCGTACTAATTTGATACTCATTGGTAGGTACCATGGTTCAACTGTAGCTCATGACAATCTTATTTGGTCACATGACAATCTGCCAGCTTCATGATTATGGGTATAGAGTCAATTCTTGTGTCAATCATCCCACTGAAGATTTATTTCATTTACTCACCTTCTTCTTAAGCAACTATTCATGTTTTCTTTGTACTGAATGGTCTTTCCTAATAATGTGTCCAAAGTAAGCATGCTGAAGTCTTGTTATCCTCAATTCTAAGGAACATTCTGGTTGTGAATCTTCTAGGATGTCTGTTTTTCTGGCACCCACAGTATATCCAATATTCTCCATCAAAACCAAAACTTTCAATATAATCTAGTACTCATAACTAATTAAATTATAAAAAAAATATTTTTGGTCTCTATTTCATAGGATATGAAACTAAGAGAAAATAAATAGCAATGGTTATAGAAGATAATAAAATAAATATTCTTAATCTAAAGGAGCTCTGGTGTCATAGTGGTTATGAATCAGGCTGCTAACCTCAGGATCATCAGTTTGAAACTACCAGCTGTTCCATGGGAGAAAGATGAGGCTTTCTGTTCCTGTAAAGATTTACAGCCTCGGAAATCCTGTACAGAGTCACTATGAGTCAGAACCAACTCCATGGCACACAACAACAACAATGTACATTTGTAGAAGCTTTGGTAGGGTAGTGTATTAGCCATTGGGCTGCTAACCACAACATCAGCAGTTAGAATCTACCAGTCGCTCTTCAGGAGAAAGATGAGGCTTCCTACCCCTGTAAAGATTGGAAGCTCTATACAGGGTCATTATGAGTTAGAAATGACTCATGGACACACAACCACCATCACCACCAATGAACATTTGTATTGGTTAAAATACCGGAAA